TCTAAAATTAACATTCTTGTATCTCATCAAGCACCATTATATTGCAGTTTCTAGTCAATGATTTCATTACATCTGTTACCACCAAAAAAATCAAGTAAATTTGTAAACTAAATAGTTCATTGGCATAAAGTGATTTTTAAAAGGGGTGAATAATGTTTGGGTTTTTTTCCTAGCAAATAACAAATATTGTGATTAAACCATATTTTAATAGTATGCTAAACTCCAACCCCAACTGATCTGGCACATTTTCTTTTCTGAAACTACCTTTGATAAGAAATGCATTACAAACTCATCAGTTTAGCTTCCTGTTAACAAAGAGACAGCAGCCGTCTGGATTATTCTAGATCCGCAGTGAAACTGCCACACTATGTATGCTCAAACTAAAGCTGTGTAAGTTTGACAAGGGGCAGATGAATCCAGGAGTTATTGTGCAGGGGTTTAAGTCTATGCGGCAGCTGACGGTTGAAATAATCATCTATACATCGCTCTGAGCTAGCTGGGGAAAGGTTGAAGCTGTATATTTTCAACATATCTAGCCTAATGGTTAATCTGTTGTCTTGTACAGGGGGTGCTGGGTGGAATCACAGCAATAGCTGACAGTTTGGAGGAATTGCTGTGGGTATTTTCAGTTGCCTGATTCACAAAGTGGTAGGTAGCAAAGTCTAAACAGACTTGTCGTTGAATGAGGGAAGTCATGCTCACTGTCACTCCCATCAAAAGAACTCTGGTAGCCAAAAGCTCAATCAACATATTGATTATTTGCATTTAATAACACAGGGCTGCAGCTTGTCTTCACCCCCCACCCTGTGAAAGCTGAGCCAGATTGCAGAATGGTGACTGCTCCTTTGGAGGTCAGCTGGGAAAATGTTTAGGAGAAAGAGAACAGTTAAGTTGGGGGAAGAAATAAAATATTTCTTCAAACCAAGATAGTTTAACTGTTAGAAACACTCTCTGTACTTCTAGTGCTGGATCTGGCATATCTGCACAGTGACAATGCATTACTCACTACAGAGATTAAGGGGGTGCAGCATGAATTAGACTGAAACAAAAATGAAGTATCTGCAAGTGACAGCTCTGGCTGATGGCTGACTATGAAGGAAAACACTGTGCTAGTGTCTGGCGAAAAACAGTGCTGAAAGCCTAGCAGCTGATAGAGATGGGGGAGGAAAGGAGTAGTGGGTATTGGTGGTGGTTGTTTAGAATGTCTGGTTTTGGTCAGGATATTTTTTCTCCTTTAAAACACATTTTCATCTTCCCTTCCAGGCAAATCATGCTGAAGCCAGTTTCAGCCATTTTGTTGAAAGCAATGTACTGGTATTCTGCCTTGTTACATTTAAATTAAAGCTCAGCCCAGTTTTAAGTTATGGCAAGTGTATGCTCACAAGGAATAAATAGAGATTGCCATAGGCATTAGATTAACTCCATTGGTTGTTTTAAAAATGTTCAGGGAGTTGCAGATTGCAATTCAAATTATCTTCATTATAATAAATAAAATGTATAGAAATAGAAACAGGCATGATTCTCTAATGCAGTCTGTAGGCAAGTGTATATTCATTGAGCTTGAAAGGGAGTTCCTGAGGGTGGGGGTAAGGAATAGGAATATCAAAATACCTTTACAATTGCATTAATATCTCACATCTTATAGACATTATTTTAATTCTCTAATGGTAACAGGTTTCTTGGGCAAGTACTATACAGCATTTACTAAAAGTAAGTACCGTTCACTCAGGGTGCAATTAGAAAATACTACAGAAAATGGAATGTCTTACCCTTACTCTACTCTTATCCTGTTCCTTATTATTTATCATTCTTAGAAAGCAGTTGAAAATTTGCTCTCAAAATGACCAGTAAGTGTCTCTATTCTTAGGTACAATAATAATGCCTTACGTATACACAACAAGTGTCCTGAACAGTTCTAAGGAACTTGGGCAGAATAAACAATGCAGGCAGCACACTCATCCTGTGATCATTTGCATTGAAAATAAAGTCATATGTTATATTGCATAAAAAGAAATTAATCCAACTATGAGTAGAAAACCAGTTCTCTTTCAGTAGACTCGCTGGTGCTAAACTCATCACATACTTGGAAGAGAACCCTTGTGGCCTTGGAGGCTGTGGTTTGACATTGCACAACAGTACAACAAATTACCCCAATCCAGACAGTTTGATTGCCAAACCTAGAGAGGCAGTGACTACATGTAAGGATGTATTTAGTTTCATATAACTAACAGCAGTCTTCGCTTCCCAAATATGTTTTCTGTGGAAATCAGCCCACATAGTGGTGCAAGAACCCAATCAGATTTTAAAGAAATTATTAATAAAAATCAACTGCTTTTGCTGAACAACAGGGTGCTATTTAAGTGGTTTAGGTTCTGCACATTATAGTACATATCTGGTGAAGTGACAGTGTTGGCCTGTGTTTCTCACCTAATTGGGTAATACTGCTTTACTCTGAAAGCACCGTGCTTGCACATGTAGTTTACTGTGTATCCTGACATGCCTGTCTTTGGGGCACAGTGTGCATGCACAACTTGACAGTAACATTTACACTGAGTAATCAGTTTTATTTTTCTGTGGTAAGAAATATATAATTGTAGGAGGAACAGAGAGAGATATTATTATCTCTATGAAACATGAGATATTCAGATATTATATTATAATCCTTGCTTTTCATGATGGAGTAAAAAGACATGAGCCATAAACTTTTGGAATAAGAAAGAAACTTGTCCTATGTACAAGATATTTCACAGTTATCCACTATGGGGCTTCTTCAACTTTCATCTGAAGTAGCTGAGCTCTTGTCAGAGACAAGAAGCTAGAAGTCATGGAATGAAACCAGTAGTTAGAACTTTTAAATCTTGAATAATTTGACTGAACAAAAAAAGGCAACTTGTTATCCCCATGCTCAGTGTTTTGCTTTTCAGTAATAGTACCTGTCCACACTGTTGGAAATAAGGAGAAGTAGATTATGTTTTAAGCAGCTCAGTCTGCCTTCATGCTGAACAAGATCATGTGGGACTGTTAAATATGATGCCAAACACCAGATATGAAGCCATTACCAAAAGACAAGTATTTTTGTTCTGACTCATGCTGTGCCACTGCAAGCACAAAATCTTGGGACATCTTGCTCGTGTCTGCATGGAATATTCCAAAAGATGTACATTTTTATGGAACGTTATTGCTTAATAGTGAGGTCTGGTATCTGAAACCATCACTTAGTGAGCTCCAGAAGAGGCTGTGAAAAGATTATGATATTTATGAAACAACTTGATTGGGGCTGGATAAGCTTACCAAGTTTTGGTCTTCCATTGCATGTGAAGATACTTTGATGCAGGCATGTAGATTTTTGAAGATTATTGCCAATATTACTATCTATACTTTAAAAATAGAACCAAATTGATGCATATCTTCAAATACATGCTTGACCAGTGACTTGTGAAAGGGAGAGAGGTCTCTGCAGATATATTTTATCATCTGAAAATTGTTTCACCAGAGTAATATAAAAAATAGAAGTACAAAATTTGACAAAACCTCAGAAACTGAGGTAAAATCAGTAATTTTCAAGTGGTGTAACCAATATTATTCACAGTGTTTTTTTTTGTGGCAGTTTTCCTAATCAAAGATATATACTCTCCTCTGATGATTTAAAATATATGTGGACTGTGATGAGTATGCATTATTGTTATTATACTTTAAATGTTACTACTATTAGTAAAAAGCAGAGTAACATTGTGAATCAGACTCTAGTTCTTTCCTCACTGAATTTTCTATCTGCCTCAGTCAGAGTAGTAGCAAGCCATCAGTTCAGAGGTCACTGAATTAGAATGGATGCTTTATTACTAGCGAGTTGAACCTTGTTAAAAAGTACCTTCAAATGACTCTTGTAATTCCCATAGACCCACTTTTTTTGCAAAAGAGACAGATTTTGTGCTTGAAGAAAAATGGCAAGCATGGGGGTGCTATTTACTTATCTTCCCTGTTACCAGATGGTGTTTCTAGATGGTGGTGAACTAGACAAAGATGCCAAAAAACATACCGACCTCCTCAGTTACTTTGGAGCCACTAACTGCTCAATATTCTCCATACAATCTTTAAGGCAATTGAAACATATGGAAATAATGCTGCAAGTTTATCAGTCCACCAACTACTCCCCATCTAACCTCCTTACCTCATAATACATAACTAGATATAAGATCTTACTGGCTCAATAATACACCTTCTTCTCTATACTATACTCATTCAGAATGAAACAAGCATTCAAAGAAAACCTTTATTGCATATTTTTACCAGAAAAACATTTTTTTTACTGTTTTTACAGAAGGTGCCATTTGTTTGGGGGGAAGGAGGGTTATGTATTCGATTAGCTTTGATATATTAGTAATGGAAGACTAAGAATCACAGATAACTCCATATTTAGGAAACCAGATTTCTTAATTTTCTTTACAGAGGTGCTGTATATGACCTTCAGAAATTTACAGTATGCAGCACTGCTGAATAGCCAACCCTTTTAATGTAGATACCTAAACATCAGTTTAATTCCATAAGTATGCCTGCACAATTTTGAAGTGTTGACCTTACGTTTTCTATGATTCCTTATTTATTTTAATAGCAGCAGAGTGCTCTACCTCCCCTGTCATTTTCAGTACTTTCAAAGAAATAAACATCTTCCACACCTAGTAAATCTCTAAGCCTTTATCAACATGTGGGAAATAAGTGTTGCCTTAGACATACTTACTCTAGGATGAGATTATTGCTTAAAGGTGATAATATTGTGGAATAATCCTTTTATGAGTATTCTTTTATAAAAAGACATTTTCAGAAAAGAAAAAAAAGACAACCTTACGAAAGCTGCAGGTATAAACCTCTGTTTCTGCTTTTGGAACTGCTACTTTAGGCTTTAACATCTGTATTTCCATGTAATATCAAAACTGATTCATGCCTGTGGTTTGAAATAATTTTTAATACAAAGAAATTAATTTAAATCTTTTCTTATTATTTAGAAGTAAAGAATGCAGCTAGATCAAGTTACCCAAAATGCTCATATCAATTCAAGAATGCAACTACTAATGCATTGGTTGATGCCAAGTCCACTGAAGGAATCCTGGAACCTGTTCCACTTGTTAATAACCGTAAAGGGAGCCTCTTCCTACCCAACAACCCCTCGCTGCTGCACCTTAACTTACTGAGTTCTGTCGAACAAGGAAAATCTACGTACTGTAGATTGCAAAGGGCACTCAGCTTACCTGTAAAATACCGCTGCCACTCCCAAAAGCCTGGGTTGAACCAAGATCTCCGTAGGTAGCCCAGTAGTTGGATGCATAAGGCAACACAGATCGGTTTGTGCATGGTTTTGCAGTCTGTTTTCCATGTGCCTATGACATTACTAATGCTCTCTTAAGTGCTTACAGATGTGGGTTTCTCCAGATGTGGTGATTAATAAGTTAATTGAGATAGCTAGTCAACTAATGTTTCTGGGTGGTTTGTGCTTTACCTTTCAAAGGATTTATTTGCTCTGAAGCATTTACGTGCTAGGCAGAATGAATTTACTGGGTATTCCAGTTGATGTGATGTTCAATAACATAGATGTTATTTCAAATTTTGGTATTTTGGGGGCTTTAAAAAGGTGTCTGTAAACTGTTCTGCTAGTGACCCGGGAGAGGCAGTGAAGGGGACAGTTTTATTTTAAAAATAGTAAGAAAATAACAACAAAAAAAAGTTATGAACTTGTCCACTGTTTTGAAAGACATTCCCTTTATTTTGCTTTAGAAATGAAATGAAGAAAGTCAAGTAATATGTTGTTACAGATGTTCAACTCCACATTACGGCTGTTAAAATTACCAGCACATCTTAAACCAATTCATGGTATATTGTCTGGAGGTTATGTCATTGAAGTAATGAACACTCTTTACTCAAGAGTAAGCAAACACGTTAAAACATCAGTGTAACTTTAAATTAAACTCCAGCACAAACTGGAGCATCTGAAGCCTCATTAGACTTGCCTGACATTTTTCTAGCACTGAGTCTTCCTGAACTGCAAAACTGTTATTAGAACAACTGAACTGAAGGTTGATACAACAGTACATTAAGTGTTATACTTAGGGATGTGCAAACAAGCTCTTGAATCTATGAAATTCTGTGTCCAATTCTTGAACATATTTGCAATTTTCATGAAAGCTGGTAAAGAAAGTCTGCATAATATAATATGGCTGTATTTAATACAAATCCTGTAGTATAAAGACATGAAAAATAGTAAAAAATGGGGACTCATTAACAAAAGCAAGCATACAATATCAGAGTTGAGTTGTCATATATCACAGCCAATTACTCAAATATGGTTGTCTTTCATAAGAACAAGCAAATTTAAGACTCCCTTTTAAATTAATGCAGACACAGGAACCATGAAACTAAAATTATATTTAATTACTTTACTAAAAATTTTGCTAGGTCTATTTCTTTAAATATGCAGAAAATTGATGAGTATTTTGAAGAATGATAATTAAATATTTTTATATCCTGCTTACTACTAAGAAACCACTTGTGAGTTATCATTTCAAAATTTTGGGGAACCAAGCCATAGGTAATGGTATCCATTATATACTCTTCACATATTTCAACTTCATGGATTCCCTTCCCCCATTCTTATGGAGATGTGTTTCTAAAATACAGAAGCCCTGTAAACTCTGCACAGAGATTTCAACGAAAAGCAAAATCTTGTTTTTATGTGATATGATGAAGATAGATCTCCTTTCATTGCTACAGTGAGAATATATGGCTTCCTTGCTTGAACAAGGCATTGCTTTAGCAACAAATTGAGATTCCTCAGAAGGCTTTGCTAACAGGTGTTAATTAGTGAGCCACATTAACCTTGGGCTTTCCAGGCAATTGGTGACAGTGACGCAGTTTGAATATGACAAGCGCATATCCAAAAAAGGAGCTTACTTATTGCAGATGCAATGCCAAAAATAAGTGCAGACTGCTAGAAATGTACTTCTAGAAATGGTTATTCTGAATGATTACAGTAAGACTTTGGTTTTAATTGAGTGGCAGGTTAGTATCGCCTAGCAACACCAGAGAACACAAATGTTGGACTATAAAGTGCAAAAGCCTCTTATTGTACTAACTTTCAGAATTTGAAGGGATCAGACAGGAGTCTTATTAGCTAGCTGAAAACTTGGAAAAGTACTCTTTTTTAATGCTATTTTCTCTTGTTCATAGAAATATTTCTTGCAATAATATCTACAGTTGACTTATGTTAATGTAAGGTTTTGCACATGGTCTTGATGTATCTTCCTTAGACTGTTAAAATAGTGTGACAATACCCTTGTGGTGGCATATTGCATCTCTTGACAGACATGCTTTAACTCCATGTCATCAGATTAAATTAAGTAAAATTTAGAATTTTTACTACCAGGAGAGCAAAACAGATAATTTGTTGGTTTCCGGAAGGAACATTTTGCATGATTCTTGTTCATTTGATCTTCTAAGTGGTGGATTCAACAGATTAGAACTGAATATTTATATCTGATACAGAAAAAGAAAGCACAGTTTATATCTTGAAACCTATTGTCTGTGTGGAATAGCATATGAATAACTTTTTTTAGAGAAGTTTAAAAAAGACTAGACCATTTCCAAGAGTGTTTTGCAGAGCATGTTCTGAAACGCTCAAACACTTGCACTTTTTTTCAATCAGAAATACAAAGATATTACCAATAAAGTAATTCTGTGCATATTCACTTCATGGTACACATAGCTAAATACTAGAGCTAAATGCTCTAGTTTAATATGAACAAACTGCCACAGAATAAAAATTTCAATTTGTATATTTTTGAGAATTTTCTATGGGCTTAGTTATCTCTCAGCCAAACAAAGAATGGCACTTGACTGATCATCAACAAGCATTTACACTGCAGGATTCTGATCTGGAAAAAAAGAAAAGTCAAAGGAGAAGAAAATGGCTTTGTCTTTGGGGATGCTGCTCTAGAAGAGGAAAAAGTTAAGTTAGCCAATAAATCATTATTAGACAGTCCTTGTTCTAATCTAAATATTATTTTTGTACCACTCTTTGGGACATTTATTTTGGGATTAGCTTTGTTTGGTTGGGTTTTTTTTTTGTTTTCCCTTTGCAATGCTTTCTTTTGTTGTGAATCCCTTGTGCTTGGTGATGCCCGGTCATATAAAAAGAGAGCACATCTGTCTTTTCGGGGTCCAATTTTTTGGTCTTGACCAAGGCAAAATGAAGTTCCATAACAGGCTTGGGCAAACAGACAGACATGGCAGGCTAGAATGCAGACTGTAATGAAATTGTGTCAGAAAAGGGTTATAGCAAAAGGCTGTTGCTTTATTTTCTCCAAGATAAGTCTAAGGCAGGTGGCAGATAACCAGGTTTTGTTGTTTTTCCTATGTAGCTTGTTCCAATAGTATTTTTTTCTCAGCCTCTGCTTGTGCACTGCTAATGTGTACTAAGCTCTTTTAATATAGATACTACTGCTACTACTACTAATGTCTTTTCTTTTAGCTTTAAACAGCTTCCTAAGCATCAGTTACATTGTCTTCTAGTATATTTTTTGGTTAATACTAGAATGAAAAAAAATTATTTTTCCTTCTCTATATTAGAATAGATCAACATTAGTGTGAATTTGAGAAAGCAAGCATGAGATTATTCCCTTTGATAGCACATGTAAAGTTTACATGCAGATTATCAAGTGCAGTTATATAATCTTGAAGTAAGAAAGATGTTGGTTAATTCTTACAGATGAGTTCTTAGGAAACTGCACTTGTGTAAGCAATACATATTGTGACATAAGTTATCCAAGAGTAGTTTATGACTGGCAAACTGTACATGATTTTAATTCTAGAAATTGATCTGTCATTGAAAATGCACGTCATCCTCATTAAAAGATTGCATAACACATGCATCCTCTGTTATACAGGTATTGTCTCCCCACTTCCATTCAACCTCATTCTGTTCACTCCTGTTAAAACTCCCTTTTGTGAGAAGGGTAGAGCGATGAGGTCTGACTTGTGCTGGAGATCTGTGCACAATGGCAGGCTGCATTCACATTCCCGACGAACTGAATCATTGAACATCAAGGCATTGAATATTTTACATCTCTTCATGAAGACTCTGTTGTTTGGCATGTGAGGAGCAAGAACCAACTGGTGTCTAGTTCATTAGCAAAAGCAGGCTGGCAGCTGTTATGTTGATATTTCAAATAGTACTTTATCTGTCTGGATATATAGCAGAGCACTAATTCTATTTTTCTATAGCGCAGATTAACTGATAATAACTCTAAGAATAACCCGAATGTGGTTCCCCCCCTTTGTTTTTGAAGTATGAAACCAATTTGAACGCCTATGTTCAAAACCCTGATATTCTTCCCTGCTTCTCTTTCAAACCAATCTCTTCGACTAACATGTATTTGATTTTTATTACTGTTGGGCCTATGTTAGCAATGAAGTATCAGTGAGTGAATGGACATAGAGTGTGTGTTCTTTGCTACTTCAGTTGTATTTCACACTGCACTTAGAGCAGTACTTAATCTCATAAGTTCCTTATATTTCCAGTTGAAGATGAGCAGCCATCGACACTATCACCCAAAAAAAAGCAGCGAAACGGAGGCATGAGAAATTCACCCAACTCCTCACCCAAGCTGATGAGGTAAGACTGTAAGAAACCCATATCTTCATCTGCTTTCTTCCTTCCTTCCACTTCTCCTCCCCCCACATCAAAAATAAGCGGAGGGGGGTGAAAAAAAAGATTGTTAGATGGTTTCTGAAAGGCTGAAGTATTTATTCTGTCAGCTTGTCAGCAGTTAATGATAGAGCTGAAAAAAAATTCTGTCATGAAAAACAGTTTGAAAAGCTGTTTGAAAAATACATAGGCTTTAAAGTCTTAGCTGTCACCCTGTCCTGTCCATGTGTAGTTCTTAAACAGCAGTGGCACTAATGATAGCACTAACCAATCAGGGGAACTCATGTGGTTAGTTTGCCTCAGGCAATTCTCTTTTTGTTGGATTCCCTCTGAGTACTGTTTTCTGTACTTAAGGCCATATGTGAGATGTATCATCACAATCAAAAATGAACCTGAATATTACCTTCCTTTTATCCTGTCGATTGAAATCAAATTTCGGTTAATTGATTTAGACTGATAAAAAAGTCTAATAATATATGTACTTGCCAAAGCAAAGTTCAAAACTAACGCAGTTTTAGTCAAGCTAAAAGCACATTAATTATGAAATACAGGGATTTTTAAGAGGGTAGTATATACTCTAAAAATGGGTGATGAAAACATAATCTTGTTAGTGATATTTTTCCCCTGTTGCTATGTGTACATTATTTTACAACAGTACTCCTTTGCATAACTATGTAGTTTCCTTCCACAGGACAAATTACCTCTAAGAGATTTGTTAAAATGAGAACTGCAAAAAGAAATTGGAATCTATTAAAATAATATGGCATTTTCATTCTATCTCACTGTGCTTCACCTTTTACCTGCTCAAGTCAGTCAGAATAGGATCACATTGTAGACATAGAGTTTTCTGCAAGGAGGCTGTTCCTGCTCTGATTTTGCATATCTTAGGCAGTCAGGCTAGAACCTCAGTCCATAATTGTATCCATAAATACTATAGCAGAGATTTTCCACTGTATGTGTGTGTGTGTATATATATATATACACACAGAAAAATGTAAACTTATTGATACATGTAAACAGACACAATTATGCAATTTGAGATTTATGTGTGTGTATAACTGTGACTGCTCAAGTGAAAAAAAATGGATACAAATATATAATTCTTTCCATATATAAAATCCTTCAATATTTTTATTATTGACAATTATTTTGTTCCTTTAATGATTCTGGATATAGCTAGGTGATATTTCTCTTTGTATTTCAGTCACTAGACTGGAATTTTCTTTGGCCAGTTACAGAAACATCCATATTTGTTTATTGTTTCTGCAATGTAGGGCATATTCAAGGACGTAACTTCTACAAGTCGTCCTCATCTCTGTTTAGACTACAGAACCAAAAGTGAGATTGATTCACAGAAGAAAATGCACCCAGCTGTGGCTTTTTTTTTTCCTATTTACCATCTATTTCTGTTAAATGTATCATTAAAAGCTCTCTGACTTCCTGTTAGTTCAGCCTTGCCCATATGACACTGATTTACATGCTTGTTTACAGTTTATGAGGAAGAATAAAATGAGCATACTGGCAAACTTCTCATTTTTATGGTGCCAGTTGTCATGCTAGCATCGTTTTCAACTTACTTACCTTTGGACAGTCCTCTTATCTGGTGTTAATAGTTTTAACTGCTTAAAATTTAAACATATGGGAGATTTTCCCCCCTCACCTTCCCCCAAATCCTAATTTTGGGGAAGTAGAAGTAAAAAGAAAGAGAGAGGGAGAGAGAGAGAGAAAGAGCTGAAACATTTGGAGCTGAACACACTGTCCCTGTTTGCTATGTAAAGTATGCCTCATTTCTTTGATCTTGAGTAATAATAATTCTGGGGAGTTATACTGTTTTCATATGCTTCAAAGCTGTGTCAAAGTTTTGCTGCTTAAGGGTACTTCTTTATTCTATTGGCTCTTGGGTACTGAGATGACAGGTCCTCTGTACTAGGTGCAGGCTTTTTCAAGTCATAGCCTTCAGCAAAACATCAAATTACCAAATACAGGGTAACATACTTCTACACAAATGCCTTTCCTGTAGATATATTATACCATATATATTAAATACTTTAGTGTTACACGGTACATTTTATGTGCAATAGAAAGTGATGGTTTGAGGTAGCCTTAGGGGTACTTTTTTCCACAAGCAGAAAAAGCTAGTGTATACCGTATCAAGTATGGTTTTTACAGGACTTTCTGCCCGAAGGCCTTTGTAAATAAGTAATGATCAACAGATTGGCTGTGGGTTTTTGAAAAGCATGCCTGTGTCAGTTTGCATGATGGGGGAAGATTTTCAAAGTAGAGCCTGCTTTCATTGCCTGCTGAAGAGGGACTGAGGGAGAGTAGTCGTCCTGAGCCTGAGCTGTCTGCTCAGTAGCACATCAGAATTGCTAAACACAGGTTGAGCAGTGAGTGGAGAACTTGCCAGGCTTCCAAATCCAGACATTGTTTTCTTCCTCTTCTTCTCTGCTGCTAAATTTATTCTCCAGCCCTGTGTTCGCACCCTCAGCCGCTCCCCAGACCCAACCATCTCTTCATTTTACTTTTTATCTATACTGACTTAACTTTGGTTCAAGGTGCTAAATAAGACAACATGGATTGAATCAGAAGAGAGCTCTGTTAAGCTTTGTTTGTAATGGCCAAACTGTTTTCTTCTTTCCAATAAACAAAGGTGGATTGTATTATCTGCTATTTTGTATCCTCGTAGATTACTTAAAGTGACAGGTACTTGCTTTCCTGCCCAGAAATCTTTAGTGTATAGCAGCTAGAAGTACCCAAGAGGTAAATCTGTCATGTCTGTAGCTGATATTTATCTTTGCAAGTTTTTTCCTAAATTTACTTTAAAAGCTACTTTTCAAAGTCAGTTTTGACCCTGTCCCACCTGCCTTGAAACAGATGGCTACTTTGCAAATTTTTCCTCAGCTATGGTCCTGGATCTGGAGGGGTGCTGGAGGACAAGAAGTCTGGAGCATGAAAAGGACAAATATATGAGAAGTTCATTTAAAAAATTTTAATCTGAATTGTGATTCTTGAATCACATTCTGAGCATCCCTACAGTTAAGATAATGTTGAAAATGCCACATAGATTTCAGATTCCCACAGTGACTAGGTCAAATCAGGGAAGAAGGTATTGTGCTATGGGATAAAACTTTATGACTTCTGCTATAACTGAAATAGAACAGAGGATAGAAACTGTATCATAGGAATTCTCTGGGACATCATGACAAGTGATGTGACCTGGTCAGAAAATGGGAGTTTTTGAGATTTAGTCACACATAAGTAGAAAGCTGTATTACCAAATGTGAACCGGATAAATAGATTGGAGGCATCTTTTTAATGTCATCTTTTTGATGACCCTAAATTACAATAAATTACTGATATAAATAGGTGATTGACATAGAAATGCTCTTTGTGTACATCACAGATGGTCTAGATTCACATTTAGAAAGTCACTGTTCTAACTGAATCCTGCATCACATCAAATGACATGAGCAGAATCACACTGATGCAATACTGTAAGAGTCTAATAAATAAGAAACAAATATTTCAAATTCCAACAGTAGCTACAAATGCAAATTAACTAGAAAAATACTCTGCATCATCATGGTTATTTTTACCTGTCTTACATCAGCAAAAGTCTGTCCCATTAAACCCATAAGAACGTGGATACTTCTTAAAAATAACTTAAACTCCAACAGAAAAGAATGGCTACTTCTCCTGTTGAGATGTGAACACAAGGACATCCTATTATAATAAAAAGTAAAATTTAAATGGAAGCAAAAGGAAGAAAAGCTGTGAGTGACAGAATAATCACATATCAGGTCTCCTTCATGAGACGGAGAAGTAGAACCAATTGATGCCTCTGGTGTCATGCAGCAATATCAGTCACCTGTTCATCTCAGTTGCAGGTTTTGATGCATATTATTGATGAGGAGCCACGTTAGCTAGGAAGAGGCTATGTTGCCTGAATATCAAGTAGCAAAGCTAGTTTTGAAAAAAAAATATGTCATTTTGGATTCAGAATGACCAGTAAAAATGTGAAAGGCCTGGATATGAATCAAAAAAGCCACTTAAAAGGATTGTTGCTGAGGCTCAAGTCCATACTTAATGCTTTTCTAGCTGCTACTGCATGAGTGGAATACACTGACTTGAAGGAAATGTCAGCCCAGCTGAGTCAAACTACCTCTTAATGCAAGAACAAATAGCATATGACAGGGCCCAAGGGGCCTGAAGAGCAAACAAATAGTTTGTCCCTGTCCACTCTGTATGTAGTGGTGTAGTTGACACAGGCCTCTAGACAAGTAGCATACTCAGCAAAGGGTCATTATCATTAGTGTCCCTGATCACATAAGAATCAGAGGCATCAGAGGACACTGGGTTTTCAGTGTGTTGCCAAGGAGAATTTCGTAAGCCTGAGGATTTTTTTTGATCGAGGATCTTAAATAATTCCCAACCAAACCATAAAACTTGCTCAGAGACTGTCAAAACCCAGCTAAGTGACACAGAAAAAAGTGAGCTCTTTGGCATACTTTTCCAGAAGCCTAATGAGATTATTTATCTGAAGTTGAGGAGGAAACCTCCTGTCTTTTTTCCTGAAGTTGGGTATAATATTCTAAATATATGAACAATGGCTGCGCACATTTATCTCCTCATCCACCCACTAAGCCACATCCACTTAAATGTGCGTACACATTTTTGCTAGTGTGCCACTCAGGATGAATTTGTATTGCCTCTGCCATTGTAGTGCTGCCCTTTCATGAGCTGAAACTGTGAACTTTCTCACAGAAACCAAAAGAAAAGTGATGACAGATCTAGAAGGGAACATTTCTCAAGCCAAAACTGGTAAAATAATTTCAGTCTGATCATTTCCCATGACTCCCTTAAACTAGGCATGAAGGTAAGGTTTGAAAAGGTGAAAGCTCACTGATAACCATAATAATGGTATGTATTTACATCTCTCAGCCTTGGAAATTTCCATCATGTAATCT